TGGCAAACCTTGGAGATGTTGTCGTTGTTGGATATTTCTTGCATATTAGTTGTATAGGGATTTATATCGACGTATTTTGGAGGGAAGAGCAGGCTCAATCTCTTCAAGGAGATTATCGTCACAATATATATATATATATATATATATATATATATATATATATATATATATATATATATATATATATATATATATATATATATATATATATATATATATATATATATATATATATATATATATTAGTATATTTTGGTAGCAGTCTTTCCTGTAGACGTATATTATTAAATATGACCGAAAAAGTAAGATTAATAATTCTAACACGAATTTTCTCAATCTTTCGTACATTTCTTTTCACTGTTGGTGGTAATTCAAAAATCAATTCTCCAAAATTCATTTTTATTTCTAGTCTAACTAGAAATAGTTAGTTCTAGTCTAACTAGTCTAGAAACTTTATTTCTAGACTAGAAATAAAAATGAATTTTGGAGAATTGATTTTTTAATTACCACCAACAGTGAAAAGAAATGTACGAAAGATTGAGAAAATTCGTGTTAGAATTATTAATCTTACTTTTTCGGTCATATTTAATAATATATATATATATATATATATATATATATATATATATATATATATATATATATATATATATATATATATATATATATATATATATATTATATATATATATATATATGCGAACAAGCCTGAATGGTCCCCAGGACATATATATCCCCAGGATATATATATATATATATATATATATATATATAGTATATATATATATATATATATATATAGTATATATATATATATATATATATATATATAACTGAAAACTCACACCCCAGAAGTGACTCGAACCCATACTCCCAGAAGCAACGCAACTGGTATGTACAAGACGCCTTAATCCACTTGACCATCACGACCGGACATAATGAGGTGATAGCCTAAGCTATTTGAACTACCCCACCGCCGGCACTCGGATAGTAATCTTGGGCATAGCATTTTACCAAATCACCTCATTCTTTGGGGCACACGTGAGGAACACAAATGCGAACAAGCCTGAATGGTCCCCAGGACAATATGCAACTGAAAACTCACACCCCTGAAGTGACTCGAACCCATACTCCCAGGAGCTACGCAACTGCTATGTACAAGACGCCTTAATCCACTTGACCATCACGACCGGACATAATGAGGTGATAGCCTAAGCTATTTGAACCACTATCCGAGTGCCGGCACTATCCGAGTGCCGGCGGTGGGGTGGTTCAAATAGCTTAGGCTATCACCTCATTATGTCCGGTCGTGATGGTCAAGTGGATTAAGGCGTCTTGTACATACCAGTTGCGTTGCTTCTGGGAGTATGGGTTCGAGTCACTTCTGGGGTGTGAGTTTTCAGTTGCATATTGTCCTGGGGACCATTCAGGCTTGTTCGCATTTGTGTTCCTCACGTGTGCCCCAAAGAATGAGGTGATTTGGTAAAATGCTATGCCCAAGATTACTATCCGAGTGCCAGCGGTGGGGTGGTTCAAATAGCTTAGGCTATCACCTCATTATGTCCGGTCGTGATGGTCAAGTGGATTAAGGCGTCTTGTACATACCAGTTGCGTTGCTTCTGGGAGTATGGGTTCGAGTCACTTCTGGGGTGTGAGTTTTCAGTTGCATATTGTCCTGGGAACCATTCAGGCTTGTTCGCATATATATATATATATATATATATATATATATATGCAACAATGATCACAAAAACACTGATCCAAGTATGCAGAATAACCACATATGAAAAATAGAAAATGCTTAACGCGTTTTCGGCTAATTCGCCTTCATCAGAGCAAAGTAGAATGAGTTCTACTTTGCTCTGATGAAGGCGAATTAGCCGAAAACGCGTTAAGCATTTTCTATTTTTCATATGTGGTTATTCTGCATATATATATATATATATATATATATATATATATATATATATATATATATATATATATATATATATATATATATATATATATTATTAAATATGACTGACCGAAAAAGTAAGATTAATAATTCTAACACGAATCTTCTCAATATTTCTTATGGTTCTTTTCACTGTCGATGGTAATTGAAAAATCAGTTCTCCAAAATTCATTTTTATTTCTAGTCTGACGTGACACTTGAATGCGTTTCGTAATAACTTATTACATTTTCAAAGAATTTAGTTTACACACACAACTATAACCTGCAAACACTAAAACAGATTTCTTACTATGCTATAATTCAAATGGCTTTTCATTTTATATACCTGCATTTGGGTGAGGTGATATGTTACAACAGTTTTGGATGAGGTGAAAACAAACTTTCAACACAAGATAGATCACGAAATATTGTGTAATATTGGGTAAAGTTAAAGGGGAAGAATGGAAGTAAATGCAAAGGGCCTATTGGCCCATATTTCTTGATGCTTCTGTATTGGGGCGGAGTCTTGAAGTGGGTAGAATATAGTTGTGCATTAATTGGCTGTTGATTGCTGGTGTTGACTTCTTAATATGTAGTGCCTCGCAGATATGAAACCGCCTGCTATCGCAGTATTTATCAATAATTTCTGTGTTGCTTGTTAAGATTTCTCTGGTGATGGTCTGGTTGTGAGAAGAGATTATATGTTCCTTAATGGAGCCCTGTTGTTTGTGCATTGTTAATCGCCTAGAAAGAGATGTTGTTGTCTTGCCTATATACTAAGATTTTTGAGGTTGACAGTCCCCAAGTGGGCATGTGAAGGCATAGACGACGTTGGTTTCCTTCAAGGCGTTCTGTTTGGTGTCTGCAGAGTTCTTCATGAGTAGGTTGGCCGTCTTCTTGTTTTTGTAGTAAATTGTTAATTGTATCTTCTGATTTTTGTCTGTGGGGATAACGTTCCTATTTATAATATCTTTCAGGACCCTTTTCTCCGTTTTGTGAGAGGTTGAAAAGAAATTCCTGTAAAACAGTGTAATAGAGGGTACAAGTGTTGTGTTAGTTGACTCTTCAGATGTTGCATGGCGTTTCACCTTTATTTTTATGTCTTCAACATAACCGTTAGTTGTTAACATAACCTAGCTATTGTTGACTAGGACCTGCCGTACTCTACAGAGTTCTTCGTCGATTTGCTTCCATCCTGAGCTGTGGCTGAGAGCACGGTCGACGTAAGCGTTGACAACACTCCTCTTGTACCTGTCTGGGCAGTCATTGTTGGCATTGAGGCACATTCCTATGTTTGTTTCTATGGTGTAGACTGCAGTGTGGAAACCTCCGCTCCTTTCCATGACTGTTACATTTGAAAGAGCAGCTTCCCATCATTCTCCATCTCCTAAGTGAAACTCAACTCAGAATTCTGCTCGAATGCCTCCTCCAGCTGCTGCAGACGTCTGACATCAGGTACCTGTGTAAAAATGTTGTCAACATACCTGCAGTATATGGCGGGTTTCAAGCCCATGTCAACTAAGACCCTTTGCTCGATGGTGTCCATGTATAAGTTCGCAAACAGGACACCTAGGGGAGAACCCATGGCGACCCCATCTACTTGCTTATACATGTGCCCATCTGGGCTTAAGAAGGGTGCCTCTTTAGTGCAGTCTTGGAGTAGTTTCCTCAGTATGCTTTCTGGCATGTCAAGAGGAGTACAGGCCGGATCACGATACACTCTGTCCGCTATCATCCCGATTGTTTCATCCACAGGTACGTTGGTAAACAGTGATTCTACATCCAACGAGGCTCTTGCACCCTTCTTGAGCCCGGATGGGCACATGTATAAGCAAGTAGACGGGGTCGCCATGGGTTCTCCCCTAGGTGTCCTGTTTGCGAACTTCTACATGGGTAGAAGGGGAAAGACCATCTCCCACAGTATTAGGACTCGCAGAAATTAACTTAAACTTAATTTCGAGATAAATATATTGAAGCAAAATGGATAAAACTTTCCTAATTTGATACTTTAATAACCAACAAATGGGAGAACTAATATATATTTGGCATCATTAATACCATTAACTACCAGAACTCGGCCACAAGGATAAATGACCACAAGAGTCTTAACAAAAACGCAAAACGAGACTAATTTTTAGATAAAAAAAATTCCTAAAAATGAAATTTCGAAATTAAAATAAATTACTGTGATCATAGAGGATTCCTGCAGTAGGTCATCATACCTCGGTCTTCATGCTAACAGCAACAGTCGGAGGAGTCACGCATGCTCGCTACCATAAATACTGAGATGCACAGGAGGTACACAGTCTATCCGGCCCAGGTACACAGTCTACGTGGCCCCAGGTACACAGTCTACCTGGCCCCAGGTACACAGTCTACCTGGCCCCAGGTACACAGTATACCTGGCCCCAGGTACACAGTCTACGTGGCCCCAGGTACACAGTCTACCTGGCCCTAGGTACACAGTCTACCTGGCCCCAGGTACACAGTCTACGTGGCCCCAGGTACACAGTCTACCTGGCCCTAGGTACACAGTCTACGTGGCCCCAGGTACACAGTCTACCTGGCCCCAGGTACATAGTCTACCTGGCCCCAGGTACACAGTCTACGTGGCCCCAGGTACACAGTATACCTGGCCCCAGGTACACAGCCTACCTGGCCCCAGGTACACAGTCTACCTGGCCCAGGTACACAGTCTACCTGGCCCCAGGTACACAGTCTACCTTGCCCCAGGTACACAGTCTACCTGGCCCCAGGTACACAGTCTACCTGGCCCCAGGTACACAGTCTACCTGGCCCCAGGTACACAGTCTACCTGGCCCCAGGTACACAGTCTACCTGGCCCCAGGTACACAGTCTACCTGGCCCCAGGTACACAGTCTACCTGGCCCCAGGTACACAGTCTACCTGGCCCCAGGTACACAGTCTACCTGGCCCCAGGTACACAGTCTACCTGGCCCCAGGTACACAGTCTACCTGGCCCCAGATACACAGTCTACCTGGCCCCAGGTACACAGTCTACCTGGCCCCAGGTACACAGTCTACCTGGCCCCAGGTACACAGTCTACCTGGCCCCAGGTACACAACTATCCGGCCCATCTTGCTGAGTGATCCAATATTCCATTTTAATACAAGGCCGCCTGCCTTCCCCAGCATTATTGACCATATTGAGGTAAGCGCTTGCCCCGAGCCACCGTCGCCATCTGTGGCCATCTGTGGCCGTCTGTGGCCATCTGTGGCCATCTGTGGCCGTCTGTGGCCATCTGTGGCCGTCTGTGGCCGTCTGTGGCCGTCTGTGGCCATTTGTGGTCGTCTGTGGCCGTCTGTGGTCGTCTGTGGCCGTCTGTGGCCGTCTGTGGCCGTCTGTGGCCATCTGTGGTCGTCTGTGGCCGTCTGTGATCGTCTGTAGCCATCTGTGGCCGTCTGTGGTCGTCTGTGGCCGTCTGTGGCCGTCTGTGGCCATCTGTGGCCGTCTGTGGCCGTCTGTGGCCGTCTGTGGCCGTCTGTGGCCGTCTGTGGCCGTCTGTGGCCGTCTGTGGCCATCTGTGGCCGTCTGTGGTCGTCTGTGGCCGTCTGTGGCCGTCTGTGGCCGTCTGTGGTCGTCTGTGGCCGTCTGTGGCCTTCTGTAGCCGTCTGTGGCCATCTGTGGCCATCTGTGGTTATTTGTGGCCATCTGTGGCCGTATATGGCCGTCTGTGGTCATCTGTGGCCATCTGTGGTTATTTGTGGCCATCTGTGGCCGTCTATGGCCGTCTGTGGCCGTCTGTGGTCGTCTGTGGCCGTCTGTGGCCGTCTGTTGCCACCAGTGGCCATCTGTAGCCATCTGTGGTCATCTGTAGCCATCTGTAGCCATCTGTAACCATCTGTAACCATCTGTGGTCATCTGTAACCATCTGTAGCCATCTGTAACCATCTGTGGTCATCTGTAACCATCTGTGGTCATCTGTAACCATCTGTAGCCATCTGTAACCATCTGTAACCATCTGTGGTCATCTGTAGCCGTCTGTGGTCATATGTGGCCATCTGTGGCCATCTGTGGTTATTTGTGGCCATCTGTGGCCGTCTATGGCCGTCTGTGGTCATCTGTGGCCATCTGTGGTTATCTGTGGCCGTCTGTGGCCGTCTGTAGCCGTCGGTGGCCATCTGTGGTCATCTGTGGCCATCTGTGGTTATCTGTGGCCGTCTGTGGCCGTCTGTAACCATCTGTGGCCGTCGGTGGCCATCTGTGGTCATCTGTGGCCATCTGTGGCCATCTGTGGTTATCTGTGGTCATCTGTGGCCATCTGTGGCCGTCTGTGGTCATCTATGGCCGTCTGTGGTCATCTGTGGTCATCTGTGGCCATCTGTGGCCATCTGTGGTCATCTGTGGTTATCTGTGGCCGTCTGTGGCCATCTGTGGCCGTCGGTGGCCATCTGTGGTCATCTGTGGCCATCTGTGGCCATCTGTGGTCATCTGTGGCCATCTGTGGCCGTCTGTGGCCATCTGTGGGCATCTGTGGCCGTCGGTGGCCATCTGTGGTCATCTGTGGCCATCTGTGACCATCTGTGACCATCTGTGACCATCTGTGACCATCTGTGACCATCTGTGGCCATCTGTGGTCATCTGTGGCCATCTGTGGCCGTCTGTGGCCATCTGTGGCCATCTGTGACCATCTGTGGCATTTGTGGTCATCTGTGGCCATCTGTGACCATCTGTGGCCATCTGTGGTCATCTGTGGCCATCTGTGGCCATCTGTGGCCATCTGTGGCCATCTGTGGCCGTCTGTGGCCATCTGTGGCCATCTGTGGCCGTCTGTGGCCATCTGTGGCCATCTGTGGTAGGCCATACCCCCAACCTCCACCATATAAAGAGACCATAGACCATAGACCACCATATAAAGAGACCATAGACCATAGACCACCATATAAAGAGACCATAGACCATAGACCACCATATAAAGAGACCATAGACCATAGACCACCATATAAAGAGACCATAGACCATAGAGCACCATATAAAGAGACCATAGACCATAGACCACCATATAAAAAGACCATAGACCACCTTATAAAGAACGGATGATGCTTGCTCTATGCATTAATCTCAGTTCGTGTGTATTAGCATGTTATTGCGTCATCAAAGACGCCTCTGGGCCGAGCATAATAAGGATGCAAATGGCGTGTCCTTGAGGCAGAGAGTGTGTCGAGAGGCCCTGGCTGGAGGAGTGGGCAACACCTCACCAGCAGGCCAAGTGTTCACTAATGGAGCGTTGCAATGAAAGAACAGTTTGGGCTACACTTGTGAGATGCAGTGTGTGTGTGTGTGTGTGTGTGTGTGTGTGTGTGTGTGTGTGTGTGTGTGTGTGTGTGTGTGTGTGTGTGTGTGTGTGTGTGTGTGTGTGTGTGTGTGTGTGTGTGTGTGTGTGTGTGTGTGTGTGTGTGTGTGTGTGTGTGTGTGTGTGTGTGTGTGTGTGTGTGTGTGTGTGTGTGTGTGTGTGTGTGTGTGTGTGTGTGTGTGTGTGTGTGTGTGTGTGTGTGTGTGTGTATGTGTACTCACCTATATGTACTCACCTATATGTGCTTGCAGGATCGAGCATTGACTCTTGGATCCCGCCTTTCGAGCATCGGTTGTTTACAGCAATGACTCCTGTCCCATTTCCCTATCATACCTGGTTTTAAAATTATGAATAGTATTTGCTTCCACAACCTGTTCCTGAAGTGCATTCCATTTCCCCACTACTCTCACGCTAAAAGAAAACTTCCTTACATCTCTGTGACTCATCTGAGTTTCAAGCTTCCATCCATGTCCTCTCGTTCTGTTACTATTCCGTGTGAACATTTCGTCTATGTCCACTCTGTCAATTCCTCTGAGTATCTTATACGTTCCTATCATGTCCCCCCTCTCCCTTCTTCTTTCTAGTGTCGTAAGGCACAGTTCCCTCAGGCGCTCTTCATACCCCATCCCTCGTAGCTCTGGGACGAGTCTCGTTGCAAACCTCTGAACCTTTTCCAGTTTCATTATATGCTTCTTCAGATGGGGACTCCATGATGAGGCGGCATACTCTAAGACTGGCCTTACGTAGGCAGTGTAAAGCGCCCTAAATGCCTCCTTACTTAGGTTTCTGAATGATGTTCTAACTTTTGCCAATGTAGAGTACGCTGCTGTCGTTATCCTATTAATATGTGCCTCAGGAGATAGATTAGGTGTTACGTCCACCCCCAGGTCTCTTTCACGCGTCGTTACAGGTAGGCTGTTCCCCTTCATTGTGTACTGTCCCTTTGGTCTCCTATCTCCTAGTCCCATTTCCATAACTTTACATTTGCTCGTGTTGAATTCTAGTAGCCATTTCTCTGACCATCTCTGCAATCTGTTCAGGTCCTCTTGGAGGATCCTGCAATCCTCATCTGTCACAACTCTTCTCATCAACTTTGCATCATCCGCAAACATCGACATGTAGGACTCTACGCCTGTAAACATGTCGTTAACATATACGACATGTTCACATGTTATACGACATGTGTGTGTGTGTGTGTGTGTGTGTGTGTGTGTGTGTGTGTGTGTGTGTGTGTGTGTGTGTGTGTGTGTGTGTGTGTGTGTGTGTGTGTGTGTGTGTGTGTGTGTGTGTGTGTGTGTGTGTGTGTGTGTGTGTGTGTGTGTGTGTGTGTGTGTGTGTGTGTGTGTGTGTGTGTGTGTGTGTGTGTGTGTGTGTGTGTGTGTGTGTGTGTGTGTGTGTGTGTGTGTGTGTGTGTGTGTGTGTGTGTGTGTGTGTGTGTGTGTGTGTGTGTGTGTGTGTGTGTGTGTGTGTGTGTGTGTGATGGAGCGTGGCTGTGTTCGCCTCTATGGGCTTTATGTGGATGAATCTTAGCTCCTGGGCCCCGGTCTGCTTCTGTATAGGAGCAGTTCCCTTGTGGCTCCTGTGAGTAGGTACAGAGATTACTTTTCTGAAGGTCATGGTAAGCCATACTCGCTAGTTCCCCCTGGAACACCACCTGATTGTCGATTAATAACCAGGTGCCCAATCGCTCCTGGGGAAACAGTGATGACCCCCCCCTTGCCCCATCTCCCCCTTCTCTGGGAGAATATATTACTAAGAAGGGCAGTACCAATACATTGGTGCCTTGTCACCAGCTTTCCCTTTTCTCAGAAATTATCTGATTAAGGAATTGTGTGAGAATTTTGTATTTATTGTCTTTTTATTTACACATTTACATACAACTGCAGTTATGCAGCTGCCCTAGACTATATGAAGGGGAGTACAGCTGCCCTAGACTATATGAAGGGGAGTACAGCTGCCCTAGACTATATGAAGGGGAGTACAGCTGCCCTAGACTATATGAAGGGCAGTACAGCTGCCCTAGAATATATGAAGGGCAGTACAGCTGCCCTAGACTATATGAAGGGCAGTACAGCTGCCCTAGCCTATATGAAGGTCAGTACAGCTGCCCTAGACTATATGAAGGGCAGTACAGCTGCCCTAGACTATATGAAGGGCAGTACAGCTGCCCTAGACTATATGAAGGGGAGTACAGTTGCCCTAGACTATATAAAGGGAGTACAGCTGCCCTAGACTATATGAAGGGGAGTACAGTTACCCTAGAATATATAAAGGGAGTACAGCTACCCTAGACTATATGAAGGGGAGTACAGCTGCCCTAGACCATATGAAGGGGAGTACAGTTACCCTAGACTATATGAAGGGGAGTACAGTTACCCTAGACTATATGAAGGGGAGTACAGTTACCCTAGAATATATAAAGGGAGTACAGCTACCCTAGACTATATGAAGGGGAGTACAGCTGCCCTAGACTATATGAAGGGGAGTACAGTTACCCTAGACTATATGAAGGGAAGTACACCTACCCTAGACTATATGAAGGGGAGTACAGCTACCCTAGACTATATGAAGGGGAGTACACCTACCCTAGACTATATGAAGGGGAGTACAGCTGCCCTAGACTATATGAAGGGGAGTACAGTTACCCTAGACTATATGAAGGGGAGTACAGTTACCCTAGACTATATGAAGGGGAGTACAGCTACCCTAGACTATATGAAGGGGAGTACACCTACCCTAGACTATATGAAGGGGAGTACACCTACCCTAGACTATATGAAGGGGAGTACAGCTACCCTAGACTATATGAAGGGGAGTACAGCTGCCCTAGACTATATGAAGGGCAGTACACCTACCCTAGACTATATGAAGGGGAGTACAGCTGCCTTAGACTATATGAAGGGAAGTACAGAGTGTGTCAAAAAGCTAGCTACGTGACACTAAAGTTCCCCATCACCACACAGTAAGGTTAGTCATACAGAGGCACGTGACTGTGTCAGCAAATGACGAGAGTAATTTCACACTCTACGGTAGCCACACGCCTGATTTCATTTCAGATTCATTTCAGATGTTTTGGGGCAGACAGTTCTCTTTTACGGTGTACTAGGAGGGGGGGGGAGGTACCGGGAATGTCCCGTGTTTGTCTGTCTGTGTCTCTGTCTCTTTTGTGTGATCAGGGGAATATTAACTGGGGGGTATTCAGGGGAATATTAACGGGGGGTATTCAGGGGAATATTAACGGGGGGTATTCAGGGGAATATTAACTGGGGGTATTCAGGGGAATATTAACTAGGTATTCCTTCATTTTTGGATTGTACTATTTTTATCTAGTATGTAATTTATATAATTTATAAATTATAAAGTATCTAATTTATATTATCATGAACTTACATTATTGTTATGTAGTTCACTACTTTTT